GCGGAGGGGCGGGCGGTTCCGCGCAGGACAGGCTCAAGCAGAGGCTTTGGGGGGCGGGGAGGCAGAGCCCCGGGCAGGCGGGGGGCCAGTTTCAGCCGCCGGGTGCGAGTTACGAGGACAGGTTTGCGCCGGGGAGTTCGTATGGAGGGCAGAGTGGTGGAGGACACGGCGGCCAGGGACGGGGCAGGCAGGGCTTGCCTAGTGGTCCGAGGGGGTATAGGTGATGGTTGTGTATGATGGAAGGGGGAAGCCGAGAATGCTGCTGGGCTGCATTGGGGACCTTTGATTTTTACTAATTCGCATTATTTTCTTCATCTCAGGCGAAATGCTGTGCGAGGATAACAAATAACCGCTAATCAAGCTATACGATAGAATTACACTTGGCAAGTCATGATTACTTCCCAGGCATGCCGTCGCCCTTTTGTGCAACCGTCTTGCGAGGCAGGACCTCCACTTTTCTATTTAATAGATTCCTCAGTTCGGGCGAGATGACCTTTTGCTGCGTCTCTGTTTCTTTGCCCTTGGGTGGTGTCTGTGTCTGTGTCTGTGACTGTGCCTGTGGCGATGGCGCCTGAGAGGAGGAGCTTGCTCTGGGACCAGGGAAATTCTGTTTCTTGTCCACGGCTTCTACTAGGCGTTGGAATTTGCGGAACAGAGCTTCTGCGCGGATGAGTGTTGATTCGAGATCCATGGTGTTGGAAAGCTCGTTGACTGCCCCGCAAGTATTAGTAAGGTATGCTACGGTATGCTACAGCATTTTCCTTTCCCCCCGGGAAGGGGAGGCAGATACATACTGTATTTTAAAACTTCATCAAAGGCCTTGAGATGCTCCATAATGACATCCCTGTGCTTCTCCAGAATGGCCAACGCGACGAATATGTGAAACTCGGCGCTCAGGTAGTCCGTCCACAAGCCCTCCCACAGCCGCAGGATGTCTACCCACGCAAACTCACGCTTGTACCACACCAGAATCATGCGGAAGAAGAAGAAGAAGTTGGTGCTGTCTGCTGACTGCAAGTGGTTCCATAACTTGGGGTCCATGAAGTTGACGAGCTGGTCTAGCGTGAGCAGCTGGCCGCGCATGCCGGACTGGTCCCGCAGAAAGTTGCGCTCCATGCGCTCCATGAATTTCTGGAAGCCCCAGAATGCAATGGCATCGTCTTGAATGACGGCGTAGATGGGGGAGAGCAGGTCCGACATTCCCTGGACGTACCCCAGGTCTTTGTTGTATTCGTTGTATGTGAGGAGCATTTCCTTCATTTGCTCAAGGTGAACATTTGTGCCAACGTCGGCAAAGGGGGAGTTGGGGTCAGGATGGGGTGCATCTTCTCCCTGGAAGATGGGAACATTGCGGTCTGTTCGGTGGATGTCCTTTTCTGCAGGTGTGTCAGCAATGCATGCGGGAGTTTTGTGAGGCTTTCGTTGTGCGTACCAATTCTGCCCCTTTGTTCCCGCCACCATTCTCCTGTTTCGCCTTCGCCCCCGTCGCCCTCGAGTCTCTCCCACCAGGAGTGCTTCAGCCGGTAATACTGGTCCCGGAGTGAGGCAATCTGCGCCTTTCGTTCGTCTGCGGTTCCGTACCACTCATATACGCCTAGAAGGAACAGCCAGGCTTCCTTGCGAACACCGTCCTCGGCGTCGAGGCCGCCATGGAAGATGCGCTCCTTTACCTCGTCCACGGTCAAGGACAACCGACCGGTTTCGGGGTCGAAAAACGTCTCCCATTCGGCCATGGTAACTGGTTTCCGTCTCTCTTCTAGAGACAAGGCACTCGCTCCTTCGAGAAGCTCAAATTCCCCCACATCCGTGGCCTCCAGATCAACGACATCCTTAACGGTCCAAATGCGGCCACGCCGATCCCGCTCGCTTTGCTCCGCAATACCCATGGCCCAACGGGCAAGGTAAATCCTGGCACTATCAAACTCATCTTGGAGAGTCTGTACCTCTGGGTTCCTCAGCAGTCTCCTCACCTGCGGGGGCAGGTTGTTATTCTCGGCAAAGTCCTGGGCCGCTCTCCTCGTAAACGTCGTGACCTTGCTGAACTGATTCATAATGTTCCAGCCCGTTTCCTTAACAAATTTGACAAACGGATCCATTTGGGCGTCACGACTGCTCCCCGCAGCCTTGTCACCCGGCGTGATTTGCTTCGACGCGCCGCCAGCCTTGGAGCCGAACCCTTCTAGGTCGTCCTTGCTGGGCTCCACAAGATAGATATTGGGCTCAGCACCTGATCGTTCAATCTTGACATATCGCTTGAGCCATCGCAAGACTTCGTCTGCTCCCCAAAACATCTGTCCAGATTCGCCAAACGGATCAAAGTTATCCCTGGCCAGCTTCTTCTTTTGTAAAATGGTACTCTGGCACTCATTGTCGTGGAAGAATAGCGCGGGGAAGCTATCTCCAGCTCTGGAGTTGATGATGATGGAGCCATGCCACCATCCAATACTCGGTGGCCGCACAAGGAGAGAATAAACGGCGCTGACGGGAACAGCGAAGGAATAGCCGCCTACCGAACCGCTGTGGGACGTGACGGTAGGCGGAGGAGGGACGAGGTAGGACTGTTTGGGTGGCGAGTCGCCAGCGGAGAGATCAACCTTGGCGTATATGCTGGCCGAGTCTCCAAGTGCTGATTCCGGAACCCAAGCCAGGAGAAGATCGGATGAGCCGGGTGCTACCGACTCGTGGGACGATGAGGATGTTGGGCGTCCGGAAGTCGACGGCTTTTGTTGCAGGAGCGCTATGTAGCCCGGTATATTATCCTTTGCCGAAGGGGTCGGGTGAACGTAGACCTGAGAAGGAATCAGTTTCCGCAAGGATGTCAAAGAGAGGGAGGCATACCTTGCTCTTGGAAAACAGCAGCTTCACGCCCCGTCCCGTCTCGGCACGTGTAATGGTGTTATAGCCGCCCTCTTCATCGTCACTCATGGCGTAGAAACTGGCCGATGGAGACGCAGGCAGGACTGAATGTTGGTGCTCCGACGCGGACGGCGTCAATGTCATAACTGCGGGCACTGCGGGGCACGACAGCCGTTTGCTGGGAGTTCGATGCCGCCGTTTTTGATGGCCGTTGGACAGAGGAAGCTGGTGTCTGGTGGAGCGGGGAAGGGCAGCACCGGCTGTGCTTAAAGCCCCAGGCGTGGTTGTGGTTGCAGTAAGCGACGCATGTGAGTGTTGGTGAGGCTGTGGCCGAGTAAGTGATTCAAATTCAATGACGACGGAGGTGGTGCAATCATCCCGCTTTCCAAAGCCAGTCCACGTGGAGGGGCAAGCCAGGTGTAGCGGTACCGAGCAGGGCACCGCCGAACGGCTGCCATTTGCGGTACCAGTACTCACTCACTCGTTGGACATTGCGT